TAAAGTCAGTAAAATATCCAAATATGAAACAGGGTGGCAGACTTTGTTGTGTCTTTCAATTCGAGCTCACCAGGATATAATTATCGACTGTTCATTCATTCAACATACAAGACGAAAGATCATCTTTAAGCAATCGCTTAATGGTGGCTTAATGGTAGCTTATAGAAGTTAATTCCTTTCAGCCACAATTTAGCTGCAGCTTCTAGGTGCTTAATGTCCAAACTTCATTAAGCAACCATTAAGCCACCTTTAAGCTGCAGCTTAATGGTGGCTTAATGTCCAAACTTAATTAAACCACCTTAACGCATCCTTTATCAAATCTTTAAATTAACTTGCTAAGTTTAAAGTTGTTTCAATATCATTTACGGAAAATCTTATTCAATTCATAATTTTGTCTCGCTATTCCTAACATCTTTGTCAATGCTTATAAACTCGGCACTGAAAACAGCTTCAGCAAATACCTTAAAATTTTCGCTACCAAAAATCAGTTTGTTTAAAACTTGTTTTTAAATTATTGTTATCCATAAACAAATAATATATAATAATTTTTTTTTTAAAAAATCATGTATTTTTCCTTTCGTGTCATTTTTCTTCTGGATAAAATATGTTATATCTAGGTCCCCCCCCCCCCCCCCGGTTCCTACGGCCATGGTCTGTTGAATTTCAATCTTTTCATACCAGTAAAACTGCAAATAACAGAGCGGGGAAATCATAACATAAATCAAAAAGTTGCTTTACATCGAATTCTACGGTAAGACATATGAACGTAACTGAAAGTTTTTTTTAACATATATAAATATAATTATGTGTATATTATTGATTATAAGAATTTTAAGGTTTCTTAAATTTACGCCGGCATCTTCTGATATGGTCAGTTAAGGCAGTGTCGCAAAGCAGAACCGATGGAATCGTTTCGCGGGAAAACTGTGGGTGCGTCTTTTAAGATGTAGTCTTTTAAGATGGGTTCTCGCTTTCTTCCAGGACGCCGGCGATTTTACACACGAAAAATTTTAAGCGATTTTAATCCACCTCCACCCCTCCACCTTCCTTTTATTATGGATAAACCATTTCAATTCGTTTCCATATTGCGGTTTCAGATCACAAGGAATAGATGTTTTGGAAATTATGTAATCACGTCATTAATTAGATAATTAACGGAAATTATTGATTAATATTGATTTAAAATATTAATTGGGTAGATAATCAAATATTTATAATTGTATATCAATTTTTAATAAGATTATTATTACATAACCATTTAATGTGAACTACGTAATTATATGTAATCTAAATTTGGGATAATTAATAAAGTCACACTGGTGGCAAAGTGCAACATAACCTATACTTTCTGTGTTATGTATTAATATGTATAAGATGGAGGGCTCAGGTGGTTTAAGGACATTTAGTTACACAAGTGGAGGAAAATCATACTATTCGAATATGCATCGAGCTATGCTTTACTGAGAATCTGGGGGATTCGAACATTATCAATTATGGATAAAAGGATTTAAGTATAAACATTAGAAAATACACTTTCCAGTCCACACAAGTTTTGTTAAAAATAAAGGTTTTATATTTCCATTGAGTTTCAACAGCCCCGATAGTCTAGTTGTTAACACGTTCTCCCCTTAAAAGAAAAAAAACGCCTTCACCCCTTAAACCAAAGGTCGTGAGATCAAATCCTGCATGGACGTTTTTTTTTTTCATTTTAAATTTGATTTTTTTCAAAACTTTTTTTCCTTTTACATTATTTTTGCCAAATTAAAAAAAATGTGTAAACTCGGCATTTATAACTTGTGAGAATAAACCATTATAAAAATAATATTTTACCCATAAAAACAATTTTATCGACAGCGTAATGGTGACCTAATGGTGGCTTAAAGGTGGTTTAATGGTAGCTTAATGGAGTTTGGACATTAAGAACCTATGAGTTTGACTTAATGGTGGCTTAATTGTGACTTAAAGATTGTCTAGAAGCTACCATAAGGCACCTATAAGCCACCATTAAGCTATCTTTAAGGACTTGGAAATGACTTCATGGTAACTTAATGGTGGTGTATTTATTACTTAAAGACAGCTTAATGGCGACTTAAAGACAACCATTAAGCCATCATTAAGGACCTATAAGCCACCATTAAGCCAAGTTTAAAGGAAGTATTTGTGATTCCTGTTTATTCAATTCCTTGTTGTTTGTTGAGATTTTTGTGTCGAAGATTTAACGATTTTGGTCCACCTCTTGATTATATCAACTCAGAAATATAAGTGTATATATATATATTTTTTTCCAGTAAAACTGCAACGTATTGTAACTTCTCTGCATCACGAAAAACAAATCACATTTCACTTTTATACAGTGGTAAATTAAAGAGTTACAGGAACGATGCAAATGTTAAAAAAACGTTCTCAAAACTTCCAGTATCTTTATATGAAGCACTATTTGTATTTTTTCCACCAGTTTGCAGGATTCTTTGTCTTGGGAGAAGACTGGTTTGTTGACTTCCTCCAAAACAGTGTTTAATTAGGAAACTGTTATAATTTTATTCCTGTTTTCTCAACTTTACAACTGTCTGAGCTTCTAATGATTTTACTATCTTCAATATGATTCATAAAAAGACTTTTTTACGTATTCCCTATTAAGAGATCCTTCTCCTGTATAAAATATGTCTATTGGTTTAATTATAAAATCTTTTAGGACCAGCAATATAATTTTCGGAAATCTTCCCATCCATTAGTTTAAGAAGTATTTTATTCATGATATACATAAATGTATATACAATGAATATGGATTGAACAGCAGGCAAAAATGGCCTATATTAGTTCTCTGCATTAAAGATCAAGGTACAAATCATGAAATGTTACAATAATATATATCACAACTTTTACAAAGACATGTATTTTAAACTAATTTTTAAGGAGGATACAATTTACAAAATTGAAAAAAGAGAGGAATTGAACAATAAAGTGGAATAATGAAAGGAAAGAGAGAAAAAAAGGAGGGTGGTGATAACGGAAAAGGGGAAAAGGCTCAGAACCATATATGTATATGTACTTTCAGTGTACATGCTGCACATTAATGCTTATTACATTTTCACATTCTAAAATCTTTTAGTATTTTTTATAAAATTACGAACTTGATCAAATAGTAACATATTTTCTTTAAGAGATAGACAATCATAACCAGACAATACAATATTGATATCTCTTGGTATGTCATGATCAATCATATATGTAATCAAAGAGTTCCAGGCAAGATCATAACATGGGCACTGAAAGAAAAAATGAACAGAATCTTCAAAAGAATTACATGTACCACATTTTAAGCATTTAGGTGAACCAACTAAGTTATGATTAAACAAATCTGCATTAAGATTATTTGACAAGTTTCTCAACTGACAGTGGAATATATTTAATTTCCATTGTCCATAACTGTATAATTTTGATTTTATTTTATCATCAAGATTTTTATTTGGTATACTTTGTTTGAATTTAGCTACACTTGTTGCAGATTTCGTGCTATCTGGCAAATCATTCCATAACTTAATTGTAGATGGTAAAAAACTATTATAATATGCAACTGTTCTAGTGATTGGTATGTGATACAAATTATTATTGCGTAAAGCATAATTGTGTGAAACAGGTAGACACTGTTTAACCATATCATCAAATATTCAGGTGTATAATTATTAAGTATTTTGTACATAAGTGTAAGCTTGTGTTTAGTTCTTCTTTCACTCAGTGTTTCCTATCCTAATTCTTTATATAAATTTTGTTTCGAAGAATTGCGCCTTAGTCCAGTAATGATACGCCCAGCCTCTACTTATACACTTTCTAATAGTTTACTCTGCTCCTGTGTACAATTATCCCACACTACATTGCCATATTCTAAATTGGTCTAATGAATGCAATATAAATTCTAATAAGGGAATCCCTGTTTAGTTTATATTTGAGTGGGCGAAGAACATTAATTTTAAACGTTGGCATGTTTTGTCATATATTTTGGAGGTATGTTCGGACCAACCGCCATTGGATTGCATTATAAGTCCAAGGTGACAATGACTTTGTTTCTGTTCTATGTAGTTATGTGTGTAACCAAATGAAATTTGTGGATGTGATTTATTTGACCGTGTAAAATTAACATTTACAGTTTAATTAGGGTAAAATCCACCATCCATTGTCTGGACCATTGTTTAATTTTTTCCAAGTCATCTGTTAAAGAGAGTCAATGTTTGCAGAAAATTCTTTTTAAATTTTAGAAATATGAAGGTGTCTTTAATTGAAATGTATCAGACTATATGCTGTAATAAACACTGCTGAATTATACTTGCTTTTCACAAGAAATTCTTATTTTGACATGTAGTTCATGCTTATTCTGTACAGTACGTTTTATTTTCAGTTTTCTTTTATTCAATTACAGAAACTTAAGTAAATTAAATATGTGATTTTATTTTATCAATTCCCTAGATTCGTGTAACCATTGAAATGAGCATCTTTTACAGCACGCTGTGCACGGATGGAAATTGCTTGAACATTGACTATAGCCAGCTCCCTTTAAGTGCTGTCACTCATCTACGTAAGTCCTTTATTTCAGTAGGCTAATGATTATTGTTGTACTGGTTGTGAATTTACTCTGACAAAGGACTGCAATTGTGTCACTAAACTGGGGGTAAAGTACTTTTTGGTTTTTTTTTTTTTCAAGTTGAGCAGGAAGAAGCAATCAATCTTTATATTGTCTGAATACTTTTGAATATAAAGTAAGACACAGAAAAGATATATACTAATTGCCTCTAAATAAAACTACAACTACGTTAACACAAATTATATACGTAGATTCTTCATTACTTAATAATATACTGGTACATATAATATACTTTTATGCATAATATCAACATCTTATCGAATCTATTAATCATAACTTTTTTTAAATCAATTATGCAAGAATTTTTATAATATTCTAACAAAATATTTTCAAATTTTCTTCTTTTTCGTTTCTAAAGCTGGATGGATAGAAATTCAATTTGAGAGTGTAATTGCAGTCTTACTATGTATGATGTCCTTCTTCTTCATTGTTCTGAATTTTGGATCTCCAAATCGTGTTAAAAGAGGATGTGTGGTCTTGGTAATAGCCGGTAAGTCTACGAATTTCACTTTATCCTAAATGTCCCTTATCGTTAAACGTATACGTTTGCTACATATTATACATGACTAGTTGATGAAGATCGCAAGCCTTTATTACTGCAGAATTTAAAATAATAACCTATGATGGAATTTTAAAGAAAAGAAAACAAAAATATGTAAAATACCCGAGTTCTGAATTAAAATTTTACAGAATACTTGTGTGGAAATCGTTAGGGACGTAGCTCTCTTCCTGACTGTTTAAATCATTTTTTTCAACTACAGGTTTGACTGAATTATTTCTGGTTGGCCGAATGTGGTCTGCCAACTCAAAACTACAAGACGAAGTTCATTCTCCTTACACAGAACTGGAGTCGAAAGGCATTTATATGAAAGTCCAGTTTCCTTTCTCAATCATGGTTGCACTGTTTGGTTTCCTTCCTGGTATACTTGCCATCTGTTTTGGTGTGTCTCTGCACGCAAAATTAACCCAATTGCAAAGAGATTCAGGAGGCCGGATGCTGAATTTGGTTCCATCTCAACCAAATAACTACAGGATCCTTCAAGAAAGTTAACTATGCTACAGCAATCAAAAGAATGAAAATAGCTGAAAGAATTGTATTTTATTGTTATACGTAATTGATATTAATAGCTATAAAAAGAGAGTTTTCTTTTATATTTTGAAATTGAAATGAAGTGTTTCATTCTTGATGTTGTTTCCTTAAAATGCTTATACTACAAGTTACTTTTGGAAATTTGTCAATCATAGGATCAAACACTGCCATTCACTTAACTGAAAGGTGACTGAAAGTTAATTACATGGGTACAGAAAGGAAGAGTTCTGCCATACAGTGACCTTTCCTTTAACTGATAGGCACCGATTCATTCCGTGGTTTTTTTTATTTATTTATTTATTTATTTTTTTTTTTAGATTTTTGATGCTTCAAATTAAAATGGTCTCTAATATGAAGATTATTTATGACTTTGCAGTAATAAAATATCAATGTCTTTCTCACATAAAACTCTAAGATTTGTATGTTGTAAAACAATTTATTTTTTAACAATATCTTTTCTGGTTTTCTTTTTACATTTGTTTAAATTTGGTATTGTTTTCCTTATTAATACTATCACGTCATTACGTTGACGTTACCTACTTTAACGACTTGACGTTGACATTTTGTATAAGAAAGCAACATATGTACGTTAATGGAATGAAAATAACCAATAAAGGCTCTTCTCCAAAATTTTGGGAAAATGTTACTATGTATTTTTCAAGAAGTTCTGAAAACTTTTGTTTTAATTTTTAATTAAAGCTATTTGTACTCTAACGAAATGCCAAATATTTGTTATATACAACGGTTGTCTGGTATAATCGTTGATATATGTAACACCTTTTAAAGGATAATAATAGACACGTTAATTAAGCTGAAAACAAACACAAAGTGTTAATCAATCATGTAACTGAATTAATGTAGTAAAATTTATACTATAGTAGCCAAGAATAAGGATTTTATCATTTTTTTAATGTGTTATTGTATGGTCATACGGCGTACAAACAAAAAATAGACGTTTTTTTTCTTCAGAAAATACACAAGTACTCTTTAATAACGAAAACATAAAATTAAAATGAAAAGTTGCATTAAAAATGAATACGTTTGAAGTTACCATCTATTTTATTGTCATTTTTAAAATTTCGTTGCACTTCCGAAATTTATGGCATTTCCCAGATATTTGCTGCATGGCCGTAGGAACCGGGGCGGGGGGGGGGGGGGGGTGTCCCCCAATAATTTTGCCGGTATATAGATTACTATAGTAAACTTAGATAATATGTGCTTGTGCCCCCTCATTTTTTTTTTTGCATTCAAACTTGAATTCTTCGATATAGAATAAAATATTTTCGAAAAAAAACATACATATTGTGTATTTAAATTTTTTAGTGCATACTATATGTGTAATTTAAACATTCAAATAAAATTCTTTTACATGATATGAAAAGTTTAATATGTTTGATCGATCAAAATATTGTTGGAAGGATCTTCAATTTTCCTGCTTTCGAGGGTCAGATGTCAAAAAGACTGCGATATCGTCTTTTGAGAAAGAAAAGCAACTCTTAATAGATAAAGAATTGCTTGATTTAGTCTATCACGATTGAGGCTGAATCCATGATAGGAAGTGAGTTAAAAATAGCATCAAAAGATTCCGACTCTGGATCAGTTTACCCTACAAACATTTATTAAAAAGTCAGGTCGTTTTGGTAGGTACAGTTATTACTTTTTACGAATTCTATACAGCTTGTGTATTTTATATATATATATATATATATATATATATATATATATATATATATATATATATATATATATATATATATATATATATATATATATATATATATATATATTATTTTAAGCTAAATCATAAATATGTAAATATGTTTGGTATAATTTGTATATAGGGAAAGGGCGTATTAAGTTTTTCGAACTTTCACCCAATCCCATTTGTAAAGTTAATAGATAATAAAATACTAGAACGTTCAAATCAAAGATACTGTATGGTTTAAAATTTGCTATCAATAAATGCATAATATGAATGTCTAATAAAATGTTAAAGAGAGGTTGGACAGACATTTTAGTTTTTTAAATTGAATATTATTTTTGAATATAAAACACATAATTTGTAAATATATTTTGTACCTAAGGATAAAATCTTCATAAAACTAGTCACAATTAGGGAGAATATGTTAGTCAATCATATTTTAAATTAAGAATAAATTGAAATAAAATTGGGGAAAATAATTATTTTAATATTTGGATCAATCCCGATCAAAATGAAACTGATCCCGATCAAATTTAACACTAAATAAATAAAATAATAATTATCGTCCTCTTTATGTATTTACCTCAAGGAAATCCACTTGATTCTCAAGTTCAGTTACCATTTAATCCTTAATCTAAAAAACTATTATTCTTGTGAAAATGTTATTTATTTCCGATTATTATAGTTTAAATTTCGATCAGGATTGGCCAAAATTTAAAAACAATAATTTTTCTAACATTTCGCATTTTCATTTTATTTTTTTTTTAAATATGATTGTCTAGCATATTCATTGTAGTCGTGAATTGTTTTTTGAATATATTATCCATAGGTTTCAAAAATATTCACAAATACTGTGTTTTATTTTCATAAATGATTTTTTTTTTTAGTAAAAATAAGTCAAAATGTCTAGTTTGCTTTTGTTTACATATTTTATTAGATATTCATTTTCTGCATTTATTAATAGCAAATTTTTAACCCTGAAACATTTCATTTGCAAATAATTTTTTTTTCATTGTCTATTAAATATTGTGAAAAAAATCTTATAAAATAATTTAGAGTTAATATCGGCCTTTTAACGGTTAAACCATAGTTTAAAGGGATATCTTGAAGATCTATGAAACAAAATGGTGTGACATTCCTTCTTAAATTCTTCCTTCAGACTTAGAATTAAATGCTTATTTCAAGTGTTTTACAATTCATAAACTTTATCTCTATAATGTTATGTACAGTACATGTAGATTGAGGAGGGTGCCTATGCATGACAGAGGCAACATTGGGACAATTTTTTAAGCCCATAATTTGCTTGACTTTCTTTTTTCGATTGAATGGCTCTGTTACTTAAGTAAATGATTTTAATTGTCCCAGAAGCTCTGCTAGGACCTGTAATAAGGTGAACATTTACTCAAATTACGTTGATAGCCTAACGGTTAATCATTTAACACCGTCCATTCAAAACCGTTTAGTAGAAATCTATGGTTAGCAGAGTAGAACCATGCAACAAGTAAAGATTATACATAGTATTACGTATTTGAACAAACACCAAACGAACGTTTATATGCAATGTTACAACGCACTTTAAAAAATTACGCACTTTGAAAAAAAATTTCAAAGTGCGTTAATTTTAGGACCACGTTAACGCACTTTGAAATTTTTTTTTTTCAAAATGCGTTAATATCGACCATATTAACGCACTTTGAAAAAAAATGTGCACGGCTTGTATTCTTGCAAATTTTAGGTATGATAAATAATTATTTGAACCTGGTTTAATACTTTTTCAGTGATGATGTCACTTCAGGATCTGAGATATACACGTTTTAAAGATTTTTAGGGGTTGTTTTCTTTCCAACAGTTCTCGTAAATTTTATAAAAGGGAAATTGGTCTCTAAGAAATGATTGTTTAATAGCATAATTTCTTTCCTTTTTTATTTTAATTCAGTCTGTAATAAGTTTGGGTGGATGTGAATTAAATGGAAAAAGGAGCAATTATGATTTTTCTCTACCATGAAAATTCTCTCTCTCTCTCTCTCTCTCTCTCTCTCTCTCTCTCTCTCTCTCTCTCTAAATATATCTGCTGCCTTGATTTATAGAATATGCTTTTTGGAAAGAATGCTCCGCTTTGCGGTGCCCTTGTAAAAGTTCCAGTCAAATGAGTATTGTGGCTAATCTTTTATTTTATTACTATCAAATTAATCAGTCTAGCGTATGTTCATATTGAATATGATAGCGATCTCGATGCAAATTACGTCACTTCCGTTTCGCACAGGAAAAACTAACACACACACTTACACACATAATCGCGTTACTATATCCCCTCAAACGTTGCGAGGGGATAATAATGTTGTCTATTACTAAAATTTAAGTCCAAAATTTGTCTTTTATACACATTTTTTCAAAGTGCGTTAAGTGTGTACATGGTAAAAAAATTATTATGTACACTCTTAACGCACTTTGAAAAAAGATTTCAAAATGCGTTGATTTGGTCCCAAATTCAATGCAATTTGAAAAAAATTTTTCAAAGTGCGTTGATTTGGTCCCAAAATGAACGCACTTTGAAAATTTTTATAAAAGTGCGTAATTTTTTCAAAGTGCGTTGCCACAATGCAATAAGAAAATATGAAATGTTGGGTAATGCGTAGAACAACGAGTGAGTCATGATGTAAGTGCACTTTGGTTAACATTGAAAGCAACGACACGATGTCTGAACAAGATAAAAATTATGAAAATATATTAAACTGAAAGCATACAAGGGAAAAGGATAGTGAATGTCAAAATGTCAAACCCTTATTACATACTAGATCAAATAAAGGATTTTTATACATTGCCTCTCTGCATGTGGATAATTTAGGGCATTAGCCGCACATTTATTTTTCATAACGGTACAACAAATATTATCCAACTTAGATTTCAAGCTGACATATGTTCCTCGCATGTTAGTAAGCACATAAATATCGTTTTCCAAGCATATAAAATTAAATGCGCAGCATATAACGCAATGCACAAATTGTGAGCTTTGAAGCAGAATTTTCAGTTGTTTGAAGTTATCGCCCTTATAATTTTAAATTACATTCATTTTTTTTGCAAAAATAAACAAATTTGCCAAATTCAATTTGAAGTAAAAAGATCAAGAATAAACATTTTATAATTTCTTTTATAATAACTGTATGAATTTCGTCTTCATTCTGGAATTAATATTCTTTCCATTACTTTTGTTGTAAATAACTTTGAAATATCTATGTATTATGCATATATATTAGTTTTTTCACAAAGCCTATTAATAAATGAGTCAGACTGTCAAAAAAAATAATAAAGAGAGAGGGAGATAGTAAGGAGATAGTAGGGGAGAGAGAGAGAGAGAGAGAGAGAGAGAGAGAGAGAGAGAGAGAGAGAGAGGAAGTGGGGGAGAGAGAGGGAGGGAGTAAAAAGAGGGAATGGGAGTGGGGAGAGAGAGTGGGAAGAGAGAGAGAGGAAGTGGGGAAGCACATTACAGAGGGATTAGAGAGAGAGGAAGTGGAGAGAGAGAGGGGGGTGAGGGAGTGGAGAGAGAGAGAAAGGGAGTGGGGAGAGAGGGAGTGGGGGAGAGCGGGAGTGGGGAGAGAGAGAGAGAAAGTGGGGAGACAGAGAGAGTGGGGGTAGAGAGTGGGGAAGGAGAGTAAGAGATGGAGTAGAGAGGGAATAGAGAGAGAGAAGGAGTGGGAAGAGATAGAGAAATTGGGGAGAGAGAGGGAGTAGGAAGAGAGAGAGAATGTGGGGAGGGAGAGAGAGGGGGTGGGAAGAGAGAGAGAGAGTGGGGAGGGAGAGAGAGGGAGTGCGGAGAGAGAGAGTTAGTGGGGAAAGAGAGAGTTAGTAGAGAGAGAGAGTGTGTGAGGAGAGGGAGGGAGAGAGAGAGGGGGAGAGGGATTGAGGAGAGATATGGGAGGGAGTGGGAAAGATAAAGTTCGG